TGATCACTCTTTAATGAATTAGTTATTGTGAAACAGAATTATTAGAAGAGAATCTGTCATGATTTTTTATGAACAAGAACAAGCTCAAAAGTGTACAAGACTAAGGAAAACCAAAAATATACACGACACAGCTGGACAAGTCATAGGCTTTTTACATCACAAGTCAAGTCATACTCGCAAAATTTTTTCGGGCAAGTCAAGCAAGTTATATCTTAAAATTTTTCGATCAAGTCAAGTCATCTTTGACTTGATTCGACTTGAGCCTTTTTTGATTTGACTTGCCCAGCTGTGATACGCAATGATAAAAAAACTTGAATCAGCAAAAAAAAATATATTTAAGATCAAGATTTTAATGCTTGTCAAAAAGTGTTACGAAGTATCTCTCATCAATATATAGATGTTTTAAAAGATGCCAAAGATAGTAGTGACGAAGGGTAAAGTTTTTTTTTTTTGTTCATATAGCAATAGTACGAGTAAATATATTTATATAGTGATCGCATCATTTTCGTTGATTACTTCTTAATTGAAAAATAGCCGCTTTTTGGAAACACAATAAAAATGAAACAATACAATTTCAATCATTCCAAAAAGCAGTCATTTTTCACTAATTGGCTTAATTTTTGCTTATAATTAATACAGCACCAGCAAAATGGCACGACAACAACAATGCCTTTATATCTCTCTCGACAATCGAACATAACAGATATCATTTCTTTTTTAATTTGCATGTCTAATTCATTAAGAAAAATCATTATCAAATATGTTCAATAATGGCCATCGTGACATTTTTGTTCAATTAGGAACGTAGTGTCTACTATAGGTGTTACTGTATAACAAGATTTTAGATTCGCATTTGGAACATTCAAATATATTGACATTTAAAGGCAAGAAATGAAAACTTCTAAATTCTAATAAACATCTTATTTTCTATTTCTCATCTTGAAGATAAATATCTTTCCGACTCATTGTATATTAAACACATCTTAACTGATCATCTTTTAGAAAAATGTTTTCTAATTATCAACCGTATTAATTCATGCATATAATCTAAATCTAAAGATAATTTCAAATCTGTTAATAAAAATTCGTTGATAATATCTTATATAATCAAATGATATTATTGTAACTATAATGTAGTCACGAATTTGGATTTTGTTATTGATAAATATATTTTATGGTATACCTTTTTCAACTTCTAATATCATTGTATGAATTGAAATACGGTAAGAAATGAGCGAAGAAAGTATTGAAAAGTATGAATAGGTAGGCCTGTCAAATACAAGATACAAACGTTGTAATGTATTGTTATGAAATGCTAAAGATGTTAATAATGGTTTAATCAGTACATATGAATAATCTTCTGCATTCAATATAACAAGTCGTTTTATTGATGGTAACATCATGTTTATGAATAGTGGATTATCATTTAAATTTTTTTTCAAATAGTTAAATAACCTTACACAAGCTCGTAGTTCGTCACGGAGTATAAGAGTATCTATCAAAGCAGTAAAACGCTTTGTAGTATCATTATTAATATTGCTGAGAAATTGGTACAATTGATCATAATGCATTGAACTAACATCTAATGAATGACGTATGGACGTAAGAAGATGTTCGATCCTAGTATTTTTTACATAAAGAAAGGCTTGACACAAATGAAATGAAGATAAATAACGAAATATAATGAGTAAAATTTCATTGGGTAATGATTCGAATGTGCTTTTGTTCATTCTTTTATTATTGAACTGACCTGTATAGATGCATTTTTTTGAATATATATAGCTCATATATATGTATGGACGAACATTGTTATGCGTTTACGTCTGATGAGTATGTTCATTTTTTTTTTTATTGGATGAACAATATTTAGAAAAAAAAAATGAAATAGTTCAATCAAGATAAAATTTGACAACTTTTTTAAGATTATGAAAAATCTTGCTTATAGATATTAAATATTATTTTCTTTTTCATACCTCTACATATGTAATTGATGGAAAAAAAAAATTTCTTTATTGTACTTTCGTTATTTGAATGATCAATAAATGAATATTATTTTTTGATAAATTTCTGAATACGTTTATATCTTATTCATTTTTATAATTATGGTATGTTCCTTGTGTGTATAAGAAGACTAACGGCAAGATGATCACTTGTTTCAAGTTCTGTCCACATGAGAAATTTTGACTGTGTTTTTAAACACAAAAATGATCTCGACAAGCTCTATCAACTTCACATCCGATTCTTTCAATTCGACTCAACCATTAATTAGGAAGCCGCCACTAACTTCTTTGATATTCACCACTGTGGCGATTCGTCAATCAATCGGCTCCAACAAAACTGACGATACCATTAGATAGATCTTGACGAGCTCTATTCAATCCACATCTCACTCGTCAAATTCGAGCAACTCGTTGTTGAGAAAATCCCTAATTACCTCTATAGCTACTATATTCATATATACACATAGGACAATTCCCGAAAAATTTTATCTCACTCTTTCATGAGTCGACTTCAACTAAACTAAGGATGGCTTCAGATAGATCTCGATGAGCTCTATCGATCCACACGTCATTTTCCCCATTCGAGCAAGTCATCATCGAGAAAATCCCTAATTAATCTTTTGTTCATACATAAGGTGGTTAGGAATTGGGAATACCGATCCAAAATTCTTCATGAGTCGGCTTCAACAAAACTAAGGATGGTTCCACATAGATCTCATCGAGTTCTATCCATTCCATACCTTTCTCACCAAATTCAAGCAAATCATCACCGAGAAAATCCTTAGCTAATCCTTTGTTCATACATATGATGGTTAGGACTTGGGAATACCGATCCAAAATCTTTCATGAGTCGGCTGCAAGAAACCTAAAGATGGCTGCAAATAAGTGTCGACGAGCTCTATCATTTGCATACCTTAATGTTGATAATGATAGGATTTTCAAAAAAATCTTTGAAGACTGATTCAAGAGTCGAGTGCAATAAAACTGTTGATGTACCATCAACATTAAGGTATGCAAATGATAGAGCTCGTCGACACTTATTTGGAGTCATTCTTAGTTTTGTTCGAGCCGACTCATGAAGGATTTTGGATCCATATTCCCAAGTCCCAACCACCATATGTATGAACAAAGGATTATTCAGAGATTTTCTCAGTGATGGTTTGCTTGAATTTGATGAGTGAGGTATGGAATGGATAGAGCTCGTCGACCCTTATTTGGAGCCATCTTTAGTTTTATTGCAGCTGACTTATGAAGGATTTTGGATCGGTATTCCCAAGTCCTAACCATCATATGTATGAACAAAGGATTAATTAGGGATTTTCTCGGTGATAATTTGCTTGAATTTGACGAGTGAGGTATGGAATGAATAGAGCTCGTCGACACTTATTTGGAGCAATCTTTAGTTTTCTTGCAGCCGACTCATGAAGAATTTTGGATCGGTATTCCCAATTCCTAACCACCTTATGTATGAACAAAAGATTAATTAGAGATTTTCTCGGTGATGGCTTGCTCGAATGCGGAAAATGATGTGTGGATCGATAGAGCTCATCGAGATCTATCTGAAGCCATCCTTAGTTTGGTTGAAGTCGACTCATGAAGGAGTGAGATAAAGTTTTTCGGGAATTATCCTATGTGTATATATGAATATAGTAGCTATAGAGGTAATTAGGGATTTTCTCAACAATGAGTTGCTCGAATTTGACGAGTGAGATGTGGATTGAATAGAGCTCGTCAAGATCTACCTAATGGTATCGTCAGTTTTGTTGGATTCGATTGATTGACGAATCGCCACAGTGGTGAACATCAAAGAAGTTAGTGGCGGCTTCCTAATTAATGGTTGAGTCGAATTGAAAGAATTGGATGTGGAATTGATAGAGCTTGTCGAGATCTATCGATTGGTATATTTGGTTTTTGTTGGAGCCACTCAGGTGCGAATCACGACGGATCTTTCTAAACTATATGGGTTTTTTAGCATTTTTTTGCGGTATTTTGGACTTTTCTCCGGTTTGAGGGGAGGGGGGGGGCTTTGGAGAAAGTAATTATTGGAGTCGGTAGAGCTCGTCGAGTTCTACTTGGAGCCAATGTGATCTAATTTGGAGTCACTGTTATGGCGAATATTTCCAGGATATACTCGAATCCTGACCTAAGATATCCTACGTGTCGAGTCCGCGTCAGTAAAAAAATGTGACTCGAGTCCGAGTCAAAACTCGGACTCGTCTATCCCTGCTTTCGAGTACATCTAATAACTTAAAACAATTCATTGCATTGTTTTATTTTTCACAATCTTTATCAAACATTTTTCTTCGTTTGAATATACACAAAAAAAAGAAAATTCTTTTGTTTTTTTTTTGTTTTGTACACTTTTATAATAGAGTAAATGAACAATAATAACAACAATAACAACAACAACAACAACAACAAAAAAAGAGAATGAAAAATGATATCTATATATATTCAAGATTTTTTTCTATTTGTATTGCTTCGATTAGTCGAATAACTATCTTGTCTAGATTTTTTTTGCCTCGATGATGATAATGATGATGATGATGATGATGATGGTTTATCTATAAACCAATTAATATGTCGTTCATAAAATTCAATTAATAAATCCGGTACAAGTTCTTTTGCTTTTTCATTTGAAATAAAATATAATTTTGTTGGACATGTTTTACATTTTAAAAGAAATTCAAGTTGTTCAGTTGGTAAACGTGAACGTGTTATTGAAACAATACGTTCAGGTTCCAGTGAAAGATAATCTATTGTATGATTTGGTATTTCTATTCGTTCTTGTCTTTGAATATCATTAGCATTTTCATCAACCATAGTTGATTTATTATGAATAGAATCAGATCGAGATTTTTTTCTACGTGTAAATGATGTAGTTTTTGTTCGTTTTCGACGGCGTTTTATATTAGATGATGACTAAATAGAAATAAATTTTATTTAAAAAAAAATAACAAAATCTATTCTTCTTTAAATATCTTACTTCTAAATTCTTATTTTTTAATTGTAATTCTTCTAGATATCAAAAAAAAAAGAAAATATTTTAGTATTGTTTTTTTTCCTATACCAATTAGTTTTATTTTCAATATACCATTTTCCATATCATTATTTGTAGATATACCATTTTCTTTTTCATCTAAATTTGGAAAATAAAAAAAAACAAAAGTAATAGATCCTTTTCTTTTTTTTTTGTTTTGAAGGATTTTCATACTATGAATATCGGACAGTAATGATTTATCAGTAGTATTTGGATATTCATCCATTGTTGTAGTAGATATATTTGTGGATGATAAACAATAATTGATTGATAGATCATCCATACTTACATTGTTCGAAGAGACTGAAAAATAGCAATAAATCAAATATGCAATCATAGAATAAAAAGACTTTTCTTTTCTTTTTTTTTTGTTTTTATTTGAATAGAGCAATTCATCTCACTGTATAGATTGGAAATAGAGTGAATTCAAATTTCTTCAAAATGCCGCTAGAGATAACTTTTATTTCAAATTATTTAGATTAATCAAAATGATTATTATTACATGAGGATAGTTGTTAATATATTTCAGGAATCCGTAAGACTACTATTAAGTGAAAACATGCTCATCGGGAGAGAGAGTTTGAAGTTTGCTGTTTCTTCTCTTTTGATTCATCTTTAATGTATTGCTCAACTATTTACATTATAAAATTACCTGTTTCAAAAAGATTTTCAATTTCACCGAGAATTTGAGAAATAATCAATTTACATTCATCATCCTAGAAAAACAAAACGATTAATTATAAATAAAATGTTATTATTTTTAACTTACTATATTCTCATTAATATTTACACTTTTTTCATATAATCGTATTAAATCTTTACAAAAAACATTTTCTTCTGGTTCCCATGTTGCTTCATCTTCACTATAACCAAACCATTTTAAAAAATATTCTATTTCACCATTTTCAAGTATTCTTTTATTAAGAATTTTTTCAACAACATATATATCATCAGCCATTGAAAACAAAATAGAAAAATGATCTAAAAACAAAAGACAACAATAATACTATATAGATTTTAAATAGAAGAGAACAAAAAAAAAGAAAACAAACATAGTACATTTATATATATATATATATATATATAATTTGACAAGAACAATTTAGAACAAAAAAGAAAAAGAATTTTTGTATTTTTTATTTATATTCTCTAATGCTTATGTCCCATTGAAAGAATAATAGGAAAACAACATCCAATAATAAGAATAAGAAGTTCAATGGCACGAAATTGTCGATCATCATAATGAGATTGTACTTCAGGTAAAACATGTACTGTTGCAACAAATAAAAATGTACCAGCACTAAATAACATAGCTAAACCAGTTGAATCAACTGAATAGGTGTCACGAATTCTCTACAGAAACGAAAAAACAAAAACGAAAATTTTCTTAAATAAGAAAAATTATAAACATACACTTTTTAATAGTACAAAAGTAAATATAGCCATTAGAGGAGCAGCTAAAGAAAAGACTAATAAATGACGTCGTATACGTTTACGATCAACACCATCAGACATTAAAAATGAAACCAGACCAAATGCAGCTGGTGCCTAAAACCAAAATTTATTTAATACTTAATATGAAATAATAATAATAATAACCTTATGAAGCATAATTGCCATAAATACAATTAATTCAACATTAAATCGACTTGTTGCTGATGCTGCACCTAAATTAGATTTTCTTTTGTTTTTTTGAAAAAATTTATTATTAAGAATATAATCAATCAAAAATAAAAAATCGTTAGTTTGCAGACTTCATACGTTATTTCTATCTTACCTTAATCGAAATATTTCGAACATTGGATCTTGTCAACATAGAGATAAACAATCCAAGATAATAAAAAATTTCGCAAAAGAAAGAATATTTTTACTGCCTATATATATATATCTGTAAACAATGCCATTCAAATCAATGGACATCTGGTGATTCGATTTCGACATTTTCTATATACCTGTGTAACAAATGCAGTTAATGGTATAAATCTATTTTTTGGACAAGCTGTTTTTTTTTCTTTTTACTTGTATTACTTAAATCTATTGAGAAGTAAATACGATTGAGTAAGTCACTTAAGTACTCTTATAACTTAATGTTAAACAAAAATCTTTTTCTCAAAATTTTTCAGTTGATTATTTTTTTCTTTTAAATCCTATTGCTAATACAATAAAAGTAGGATAAAATAGAATATCTATACTAAGAATTATCGCAAATTTTTAATTATTACTGCTGAATGATTGTAAATTAAATATTCATACATGACTACTATGTATGAAAAAAACCAAACGAAAGACATTTTTAGTTTTCTCTTCAAAAGAAAAGGTTATACTTTGTTTTTCTTTTTTCTATTACCTAATGCAATACCATCAGCAGCTGCATGTACCACAAGACCTAATGTTGCTGTCCAGGTTGCTTTTGGTTTAGATATAATAACTGCACCCGATGAATCCAGAACTAATCAAAATAGATTTAAAGAAAACAAAACTTTGTTTTTTTTTTTAATAATTAGTTAAAAAATACTTTGAGTTCCATGATGTCGAATAATTCTTGAACCACAATTATCAATAATAAGCATAAATACAAAACCAAGTATAAGTGTAACACCTAAATAAAATTTAATGAATTCTTATATTCATATAATATATATAAACGTATACCAATAGCTGAATGTGTTGTATCCGAATGTTTATGTCCAACTTCTGAACCTAGTTCTCTTGGTCGATCAGCTGTATGTTGATGAGCTGGTGGTAAGGCATCACCTTTTATATCATTATCGACTTTAACATCACTTGCAATAGGGACTTTAATACCATGATCAATTTGATTTAAATGTCGACGAACTATTTTATGATCAGAATGAAATTCATGTTGAGTTTGCATTTGATTTGTTTCTAATTCACTCATATAAAGTGCATGAACACCTTCTGGTATAATAACAGCTAATGCTGTACCAACTAATAGACCAGCACCAAGTACAGTAACATAACGCATTTTTGTCTAAAAGATTTGTTTTTCCTTTTCTTTTTATTAATTGATAAATAAAATTAATAACTTACTTCAGAAAGATTGAATGCAAGTGGAATAAGACCAGATAAATATGAGCCAAGAAACATAGCTAAACTGAACATACTTAAGATAAACGATTCCGACATGGTAATTATGGATTTAAAAATAAGATAAATTAATTTTGTATTAGATTAATGAAATTGAATATTTGATATTAACGAAAAACAAAAAATATTGAATCAGTTTAATAAAAAAATATTGAGTTTTTTTTTTTTTGGAAGGAATAGTTTGATTAGAAATAAATCTCAATCGATCCAGGAAGTTATGGTTAAATTAGGAAAATTAAATAAATATCTTTTTGATAGATGGCGATAATTTGATATTTTATTTTTATTCTAACTTAATGTTCAATTATTTTTCAATTAAAATAAAGACAAAATAATTATGATCATTAATAAAAGATATTTTTCAGAAAAGTAAAGCGACATCTATCACAATACTTGCCAGACATTGGTATAGATTGTCTAATATTAATGACAGTTATTTTGATTAACTATGATAGTGTACCGACATGGATATTACCTCACAGTAATCTTTGTTTTCTGTTTCTCGCTCTCGTCTATATAAATGTGTGTTGTATATTAAGTAGTGACATACTGAAGATAGACAGTAACTCAATAGACATCAGCATCGAGGGTGGTGGTAAGCTATTTCTTCAGTTTGTGGTAGTTACTATCATTGATGGATATGATGTTCATCAAAGTTACTGGAAGATATACTATGACAAAAGTGTGATCAACAAGACTATTCTTTTCTTGTGCAATCAAACTAAATCAGTTAGCGTTCTTGTTTAAAAAAAGGATCAAAACTATCAGAATTTCCTAGAAAACTCAGTAGATATACAAACAAGTTCCTTTGTAGATATCGACTATGTTGCATAGTTTATTTTTAGATTTCATCGGGCAAAGCTGAGATTTCTTCCAAAATCAAATAGCTGATGACGAACGTAACTGCTTTAGTTAAAAATTGTGTAGCCTTCGAATGTCATGACAAGTATGTGAGAAGAGTGTAAGTGAATATGAGTGAGTGTGTCAGAATAGAAGACTAATACTCGCACCCTTCAAAAAAGATTACTTTTAATACTGACGTGTTGCTGACTAGTGAGTGATCATAGTTCGCGAAATCTACAAATAACTCTGATGGTCTCACCTTTTTGGATACTATCAAATTCTGTAGTTTGCTCTCTGAGTTTCAGTGATTTTTTGCGCCACTGCACACTCTTGTCGTAGCCACCTTGCTGTGAAGCAATCAGACTGAGATCGGCATACAAACTGCGAAGTGAAGAATTATTCGGCGAAAGTTCTTATAGCAAACGAATGTAGTACTATTCAGCCAGATCAAGTTTGTCCATATTTTAAATTGCGTTCGTCATCGCCATACAAGGACATTCCTATTATCTACACTTTATCGCCATCTTGATCAATAGAGTTTAGATGGAAAATGGAACCAAGCATTAAGAGTATCTCGGATTCATCAGCAAAATGACTAATGGTACTGATGTCAGCGAATGGTTTCGTCGAGACCACCTTCGGATTAGCATCAATCACGAATAGAACTCGTTGTAAATCGATCTGTTGGGTCTTATTACCCATATAGAAATCAGCTATTAGACGTCGCTTACTGGTGGAAAGAAATGAATTTACCGAAACGAACTAGCCAATGCTTTGTTTGAGATAATCTAGCTCATCAATGGACATCAGCTGACTTCGATAAACTTGAACAGGGCGCTGACATTGATAATGCTGTAACTGACGATATATGTCGGCAATAAAGGAACGATACAAGAAAATCATATGAATATTTTGCTTGCGTAGAGTCGCATTCAGAGTTTTGTAGAAGAATAACTCACGAGAGTACCACCACAAAGCTTTGTCGGATGTGTAACCATTTTCAAATTCACACAGATTGTCGAGTTCAACATGATTACCTTTGTATTCATTCTCACAACAAGAAATGAGTTCTTTTCTGTCCATCCCATTGAGTTTCAATCAAAGAAGACAATCGATAAGTGATTGAGAAAAAGCGAATTGACCATTGATTCCTGTTGTAGACTTCCCTGCATCGCTGCTTGTAGTAAACATGTTGATTGACAATGGTTCTTGCATCTTCATCTGATTCTTATGATCTACTTTAATTTGAGAAACCAGTTCTTCCGGTTCCGTAACAATGAACTTCACCTAAACTGGTAGAATAACGAGGCTGAAACTAGTCAGAGCAATCCTACCTTGACGAACTCGTGTGCCCACTGTGCATCGCTCGTCTTGTCTGTGAATCTAACATAGATTGCTGACACTTGTCGAAGTTTATGAATGGAAGGTACTACTTGTCGAGCGAATTGATTGCTAACAATGAGCACTAATCGATCATGTTTCGGTCTTTGCTGTATATATTGTTTACATTCTTCTGCATCGTGAAATGTTTTGAGATGATTGATGATCGAACGCATCCTTTGTTGTGTTTCTTGATTTTCTTCGATGTGAACATTTGTATCAAGCCAGATTAGACTGAAAATTTCAAGATTATCGTCATTGCCATTGATAAAAGAATTAACAGAACGTAGACTAACCATGGCCATCTAAATAATTAGAAACAAAGAAATTGTAGTTCTTCTAAAGCCTGTCCTTTTGACATGAGAATCGCATGCACTTTGTTTTGAACGCTTGCAAAAGGAAAGGATTATTCTCGTCAAGGGACATGAATCATCTCCTCGGGAAGAAGCTTTCTTAGACGAGGTATGAGTAAAATGAATTTGTATAAACAAAAAGGCTTGTATTCTCCAAGATAAGCCAGCTCAACATTTATGACTACGTAGCTTTTCTCAGTTTTACTCTTTTATTTGTCAATAAGCTATACCTTTTCTTCTCCAAGTAAGGTGAGAGTGAGCGTCGCCGTTACTT